CTCCCTTCTGAAGCTGCTGCCCCCGCGACCCGACCCCGGATAGGCGGAAGAAAATGGATGGATGGATGGAAAATCAGACTTAGTGATCTACAATCATGGAAAAATGGCACGTTTCTGCAGCAAACATTGCTACTGATGCTAAACTAACATGTCTCTTTTGTTAGCTAAGGTTAGCCTAACTCGCGTCACTCTTTGCAGCCAATAAAAGTTTTGCATTACTGACATACAAATCTTGTTGAGACTTATAGGTTTTACAGAATCACTGTGGTCTGCAATAACTGAAAAACGCCATGCTAACTCTGAATTTTGAGGCAGTTTTTTTGCCCTTTGCAGCCAATGTTGCTACTGATGCTAAGCTAACATGTCCATTTGTTAGCTAAAGTTAGCCTAGTAGCACCTCGCGAAAGCCAAAAAAAGCTTTGCATTACTGTGACACACAAAAACAGTTTAAGAATTTCATAGGTTTTATAAAATCAGACTTGGTGATCTACAATCATGGAAAAATGGCACGTTTCTGCAGAAAACATTGCTACTGATGCTAACATGTCCTTTTTGTTAGCTAACGTTAGCCTAAGTAGCATCTCTGTCTAAAACCAGTAAAGCTTTAAATTCCTGTGATGTACAAAAATAAACAATAAGTTGTGTTTGAGAATTTCATAGGTTTTATAAAATCCATAATTATAAAATTGACTCAGAATTAAAAGAAATTAAATGACAGGCTGACTTATATTTTCTTTTCTTTGCTTTATCTCTGCGCCTTACCGTCTGCGACAGGCCGAGCTGGGCAGATTGGTGTGAAATCGCCGCCTAACAGGCGGGAAATTGGCTCTGTTATTTTTGGAGCGGTGTCACGGTGGGGACTGTCGGACCATCATCCTCTCTCTAATGAACAGGTGATGGAGCTCTGCGCTGGAAGCAGAAGAAATGTGAAATAGTGTCGGTTTCTTCAGTAATCAGCGTAACATCCGTCACGTTCTGATAACTGTGGCTGGATGGAAGGAGATGTGTTTGTTGCAACACAGAGAAGTGTCACAATCTGAGTTTTTTAATCTGAAAACCTACATTCTGCCAGACTCATCCTCCTCAGCAGCATTATTTATCACTAAAACATTTCCTGTTTTATCAAACAAATAACAACCAACGGTACATCATCTCTAATTTGACTTTTCTGAAAGAAAAAAAAACCTTCTCCGTTCATTTGTTTGGCAGATTTGCACAAATCTATGGTAAATGTGGTGTTAAACCTCACAAACCTCAAGATTTCATGGATTTYAAGAAAAACAAGTAGCGCATCTACCCAAGAAACGCTTTGCTAACCCGCTAGCTTTGCATACACTACACAGGTAAAAACAATTAGCAGAAGCTAACGCTAACAAATGCTAACTCAAGCTCATAAAAAAACCTTTTCTACGTTCACAAATAGCACCTAACATTTTCCRGTTGAACTGCTTGTCGTTTTATGTAGAAATGTTTTAAAGAAACTTGAGTTAGCCATTATTTATTAGCGTCCGCTAATTGTTTTTACCCGTGTAGCGTCTGTAAAGCTAATTTTTTTATATGGCTGGATAGTGAAGCTAGTTTCTTTGGTAGCTCACAAGTGCATGTTTTCGACTTAAAAAGTTAGAACTAAATTTAGTGGATGCTAATAGGCAGAGTTGCAAAGTAACTAAGTACAAATACTTTGTTTCTGTACTTAAGTATAATTTTTGAGTGTCTGGACTTCACTTAATTATTTTTCACCTTAAATTTTTTACTTCTACTCCTTACATGTTCAGTTATCTGTACTTTCTACTACTCACAAACTGTGCCTCTTAGATAAGAGTGAATTTAATTGTGGTTGAATGAGAAGTGTAATTATA